CGTAGCCGTTTTTGAGACAAGGATAACTCTATCACTAACCAAACCAGTGGTAGCAGTTGACATCTGAGTCAGATGACCGCCTGTATTACTTGGGATAAATGCAGGGGGTACCTATTGAGTTAATAGCCAACAAACATTGGCGAATCAAGGGGTCTAGCCGGTCTACGCCGCCTGGTACCTCTACTTCTCAAACAAAAGTGACGGCGACTGAGTAACTCCAAAGTTAACTCATAGTCACTCCTTCAAATTTGGTATGGAACCTAAAAAGTTTGAGTCGTCCGCCTGTTTTATACAAACAAGGGCACTCGAACCCCTATTCCTACTGGATAAACTATTGAGTAAATAGCCAACAAACATTGGTAAATCAAGGGGTCTAGCCGGCCTACGCCGCCTGATACCTTTACTACTCAATCAAGATTGTGACGAAGACTAAGTAACTCCTATGTTAACTTAATAGTCACTCAAACTTAGTACTGAGCCTAAAAGGTACGAGTCGTCCACTTGTTTTTAATAAACAAAGGCCCTCAACCAATACTCTTGCTAGGATAACAAATAACAAATTAGAGGCCAACATTGGCAATAAAGGGAAACAACCGGTACCCGCCGCTTGTTTTCCTACTTAAATTCCTTGGCTACTTGGTAATTCTATTTACTTGGTCAAATTGAATAAAGAGTTCGAATACCGATTGATTAAATGGCCGACTGATCATCTATCCTGGAAACAGACAACCAGTCGTCCAGGGGCATAGGCGGCATACTTACTATTTGTACCTGTCTTAACGTTCGGCCATACACAACAGTCTGTCTAGTGAGCAAATTTCAAATACTTAGACAAATTTGAACAAAAACAAAAAATTTGATTAAAATGAGCCGGCCATAAAAGACCAGCAGAATATTCAAAACCCCGGCCCCCTGGCCGGGTAATTACAAAGCAAACGGCACGCAGGCCGTGAAAAAAAAAAAAAAAAAATATACTTAAAGCTTAAGAAGGGGGCAGTTCAGTATCAGCAGCAGCCGCCTGGTCAGCACTCTTCTTGCTGGACTCGGCCTTCGCTGCATCATCTTTTGATGCCTTTCCCCCAAGTGGCACAAGCGCCACAACAGGCTCTTCCTCCTCCAACGCAACGTCCATCGCCTCTTCTTCAGCAGCCGCCAGGATCTGTTGATTATATATTTCCGAACACTGGCGGTACGTTCTTTCCCATGAGGCAAAGTCGGCACTGGGGAACAGTCGTTCCCAGGTCATGCGTTGGATTTGGGCGGAGTCTTCCACCATCTCCCGGACGAGCTCTTGTTTTTCTTGCTCGGCCTTGTCCGAGAGCTCTTGGGTAAGACTCTTCTCCTGGTTCACCAGGCGTTCTTTTACGTTAGCCAAAGATTTCTCCATGGCTTCGTAAGAGTGCATTTTCTGACGAAGGGGCTTCAGCTCGGCTTTAAGTTTGGTGACGGTCCCCTCCAGCTCGTCAACCTTCTTTTGGGCCGCCTCTAGCTGAGCCCGAACAGCGGCGGTCGCCTGCGCCTGATAATAAAGAAGATCAATGGTCAGTACTTCATTTTGGGCAATTTGAAACATTGCTTTATCACAGCTGGAGGCGGCCATAGCCTTTGCGGCCTTTACCTCTTTGTTTTTCCGATCAATCGGCTTGCGAAGGCTGTTGACTCGGAGCAGGGCCTAAGTACAAAGAAAAACAGGCGTCAGTTTCCAATCATAAGGGTTAACAGGCGTCCTGGAACTTCAAAAGGGTATACCTCAGCTAGGATCCCCGAAATTCCATCGAGGTCAAGGGTGCCGGCACCCTTGACCGCCTCCCTGTCAGAGGGAGGAACTACTTTAACCATTGACTTGGCTACCTCAACCAAGTCAAGTCCCTGGGGGCCGGCTGCATTAAGCAGAAGGAAAGACAAGTTAGACCTAATCAAGAAGGAAGCAAGAGTGAGTTTTTACAAGCAAGTGTCCATACATCTAGGCGGCCCCGCCTGGGTTTTTGAAGAAGTGGCCGGCTGCTTCTCAGCCGCCACTGTTTTCCTGGAAGACCCAGGAGAGCTTGCAACAGTCGTTCTCCGGGCCTTGGGGTCCGGCTGTTGCGAGGAAGAAGCCCTTGGAGTGCCAGACTGAAAACAAAAAGAGTTAGTATATGCATAATACAACTTAAAGGGGAAGAGTTTTCAAAGCTTACCAAGGGTGCCTCCTTGCTGGGGGAGTCGGCGTACGACTGCTTCATTAGCGAAACCCGCAGCATGGCCGCCGCAGTCTTAGATGCTGTTATTTTACTCATGGCGTCGGCTGAAAGAAATAAACAGCAAAGTTAGTAAAAATCCCAAGTAAACAAGGCGTGAAAAAACAGAGTATTCGTCAGGCCGGCTACCTCTAGAGCACCGACTGCCGAGGCCACAGGCGGCCAAGAAGTACTCATCATAGAGCCACTTGAAGCTCGGGACGCAGTGTAGGGGTACTTGCTCTCGTACCCCTGAAGTAGAGTTCACCCTAGTCTCTACTTTGAAGAGTCCTTTGTCTAGGATCTCTCTTTTAGCCTTTGGGGGAACAGGCGGCATGCTGCGGCCGCCTGCAAGAAGAGGCGGATCCCTGTTCCACTTGTTAAAACGTTTGTTCAGCTCCGTGTCTGAACTCTCGATAATAAGGAAGGTGTTCCGCCAATCCTTCCATTTGTTTGCCTTACCTCTCGTCATGAGGTAACCCCTGTGGCTTGTTAGTTGATACCAGCCGGTACCTCCCGACTTAGGGGTCCGGCTGAGATAGTTCATCTGGGCGAAAGCCTCAAAACTTGGCTCCACCCCGTTCAGTTCGCACCCGGCCACATAGCCGAGTACGTTTACCCAAGAGTTGGGGGCTAACTGCCATAACCCCAGATCATACCCATCTAAAATCCGCTGAACAGCCGGATGTAATGGGAAGCGCAGACCAGCTTTGATGGCCGCCACATAGCAGCCAAAACAGCCGTCACCATAGCTGGTACCAGCCGGCCAGACGACAGTATCTTCTGGATCCGGCACAAACAGTAAATACTCCGGGCTCATTTTGTGGTTAGCAATAAAGCTCGCCACGTTGTCTCGCATGGTTGCGATCCGGCCCCGGGGCACCCTGCAGTAGTAGGGGGTGTTTTCCTCTCTGTAAGAGGCGGACGGCTCTGCCCAATTATTCCCCTTCTCCACTGCATGGGAACTTCTCGCCTCTTGTAGGCGGTTATGTTTTTCTTCTGAGTCAGAAGGACTATGGTTAGAAGAACTATGGTCAGAAGAGCTGGAATCGGACTCGTCCCCTGACGAGTCCGAAGAGGACGACTCCTCCCCTCTCCTAGAGGGGCCCGCCTCCTCTCCCTTAGAAGGAGCAGAAGGTAAATTGGACATGTCCACGGTTAGATGAGAAGGGAACACCTTGGTCCCTCTCTCAGAACTGTCAGCTTGACAGTCGCCTCGTTCCACATCTGGCGCCTGGTCAGATGTTTCGCTAAGGAGTACCCTTTGGGAGGAGCCGTCTGAGTTTGATATTCTAGCAGTCTTTTTTGTTCTGGCCATCACGTTCTGCATAGACACAGATTCAGTCGGACTTTGTATAAAGGGCAAAGATGGGTCCAGAAAAGGGCAGGCGGCACTCCTAGTCCTAGATTCAGCCGTCCCCGGTGACCGGCTGATCACTAACTTAGGGCGTGTCGTGTGCTTCCATGGTGCCATTTCAAAAAATAAAAAGAAAATTAAGAGTAAGAGAACTGAGTTACCTGAACGGATGACAGTTGATGAAGTCCTGAAAGTTCGGGTCAGTCGGCTTGTCAGAACAGGCGGTAGGCAGAAAAAGTCCGAAAATGTCAGATCAAGTTCAGGGGTCCGAATGTTCTCGCAAAAATTCTCAAATGTGAAAATGACCGAAGTCAGCACTTCCTTTTATAGGCAGAATGAGAAGGCGAAGGGTCGCTTCCGAATTCAAATTTGGGCGGGAGAGTCTCCCGGCCGTCTGCAAGGTGACACCTGTAACGGGCCGTCGCCTGTCACCGTGCGACGCCTGTCACAGGCGACACGTGACCAGTCGCGTGCCACCTGTGAGGGGCAAATGATTAGGGGATTTTTATCCACCAAGCGCCGTTTGACAAGTGGACCAACCAGGTTCCGCCACGCGTCCTCCACGGACCACTTAAGACACGCCACGTGTCCACCCATGCCAAATGGGACAACCGGCCATCAAGGCCCATTTCAGTCTAGAAGCCCGATCGGCCCTAGGTTTACCTTAAACCTAGAGAGTTGCACGCTTCCCAAGGCTATAAATACTCGATTAATCCTCATTAATCAAAGGACCGAATAATTAACAGAACAAAGGAGAAACATTACGGAACACACTAATAACCGGCTGATCTCGCTAGCAAGGCAGATTACCTACATTAAATACTCTCACCTAGAGAGACCTTATTACTTTAATTTCTGTATTAATTACTCCTTAATCAGGTACTAACTTGACCGTTGGAGGCGGAGCTCTCAGGAGTCTCCGTTATTTTGCAGGTACAGGCGTTCGGTTCCAGTCTCGGAATTGTAGCTCTCCCGCAGGACATCAGAAAACCCCGAAACAATAATCTTTCTACTTTTAGCTAGCTTATTCAACGTCCCCGGGGCGTTCGTTAGCTTTTGCCTATTAATAAATCTATATCTATACTAAACCTCATGCATGTAAGATAACATTTCTTACCATCTTAGCCAATTGTAATTTATGTACTCTATTTACACATATATTAATTTATCTTTACTTAAACACAACAAAAGATAAAGAATAATTATGTAGTCTACAAAAAATAAATAAAGCGGAATAGTCTCAACAATTCCAAGACAATGGAGGATTATTGTCTTTAATCTTCTTTTTTATTGACATTATCATAGTTATGTTTCAAAGTAACAACCCGCTGCAACACCCAGACTATACACTAGGTACAATTATTAATTATACGGAGTAATTTTATAAAAATCCGTTATTGGAATGTTTTATTAGACAAATAAAAAATCAATAAAGAACACTTTCAAAATTCCATGAAATATCTCAATAACTTGCCAAAATTAAATGACCGTTCAGCCAAAATAGTACATACAAATAACTCATAGGAAGACACGATATACATCATTTATAAATTCATTCACATCCAAATTCGTTAGTTGTACTTGTGAGTAACCATTAATTTCAACATGACCTGAATCTCAACAACCAGATAAACAACCATCAAAAGAAGCCAAAATTCAATAAAATAAAAGCAACAAAATTAGTAACAATATATGTACTTGATTTCCTATTACATTAAATTGTTTGCTTACAAAATGCATCATAAATTTATAATACCTTACGGAGTATTAAACAAACTTCACACAAACCAACCAAATTTAGTTATACTAATAATAGTTATTGTACATACATTGTTACATTCATTAAACATTACTAAATCATACAACCTTCTAAAATAGATATTAAACAAAACACATATAATTAAAGAAAAGGAAACTTCATCACACTCTTTAATTACATCACTGCATTTGAGTAATCACATTATTAGTAGTAGCATTAGTAGTATAAGAAGCTACCTTAATTGGACCCATTGCTTTAGCCATTTCCCTTAATAGAAACTTCTGAACTTTTCCGGTGGATGTCTTAGGCAGCTCCTCCTCGAAAACCACGGTCTTCGGAACCATGTAGTGTGCCATCCTCTCCCTACAATACTCTATTATTTCCTTCTCAGTCACCTCATTTTCACCCTTCCTTTTTAAGCTAAGAAATGCACAAGGTGTTTCACCCCAAAATTCATCCGGTCGAGCCACCACGGCCGCCTCGTTCACGGCTGGGTGAGTGTACAACACCGCCTCCACCTCGACACTACTTATATTTTCTCCCCCACTTATGATTATATCCTTAAGTCTATCTTTGATCTCTAGGTAACCATCATGGTGTATGACTCCTACATCCCCAGTTCGAAACCACCCGGTTCGGGTCATGGATTTGGACGTCCCTTCCGGATCCTTAAGGTACCCTAGCATGACACTTCCACCTTTTAGTACAACTTCTCCTAGGGTCGATCCATCTCTTCTTACGGGTTGACCCGTTTTCGGGTCCAATATGTCAACCTCGGTCATCCCTAGGGATCCTACACCTTGTCTAGCCTTAAGCCTTGCTCGTTCTTTTGCAGGTAGGTGGTCCCACTTGGATTTCCATGAAGAGTTAACCACCAACCCACCCGTTTCGGTTAGTCCATACCCGTGACTAACCACAAACCCTAAGGACTCGGTCCGAAAGAGAACCGATGCCGGAGGTGGGGCTCCGGCTGTGAGGATATGGACGGGTTTTTTCAAAGATTTGACATTTGGTAAGTTTGCTAGCATGTTCAACACCACGGGTGCACCACACATGTGGGTCACCCGATGGTGTTGAATGGCCTCGTAAACAGTGGGGGCATCGAATTTTCTTAGACAGATATTCGTTGCCCCCACTGCGGCCATCCCCCATGTTAAGCTCCAGCCATTGGCATGGAACATGGGTAAGGTCCATAGATAGACCGGTTGCTTCGGTACCGACCACTCTAGCAGTGTATCAACTGCTAGAATGTAGTACCCTCTATGACTAAGAACAACCCCCTTAGGGTTGTTCGTAGTTCCTGAGGTGTAGTTAAGAGCGAGTGCATCCCACTCGCTCTTAGGCCGAATCCACTCAAAACCCGGATTACCACCATCCACCAGTTGCTTATAGTTAGCAACAGCGTTGCTTCCATTAACATTCACATCATCAGTATCTTTTATAACGACGATGATAGGATGAGGAGTACCAGGAGGAAAAAGAGAGAGTGCACGAACAAGGATGGGGTGAAGATGATCGTCCACAAACACAAGCTTAGACTCACTATGACGTAGGAGAACCGAAAGCGTACGCGGGTCAAGACGGGTGTTGATGTTGTTCACCACAGCCCCCGCCATAGGAACCGAGAACTGAAGCTCGTACATGGCGGGGACATTGGGTGCAAGGACGGACACCACGTCGCCTTGCTTAATACCAAGGGACTTAATAGAAGACGCCGCTTGGACACATCGTTGATGCGTTTGGTCCCAAGTGTAGGTCGTCGCATTGTTATTGTTATTGTTATCGTTATTGTTGTTGTAGACGAGGGCGGGGCAGTCGGAGTAGGCCGTGGCAGCTCGTTCTAAGAAGTTGATGGGTGTCAGAGGGACTGAATTTGGACGAAATGGCATGAGAAATTCCATGGGAATTATGTGATTTTTCTCCTTTTGGCCGGAAAAAGTTGAGGGTTTTTTTTAAATTTATTTTTACTTTTAAGATAGAAGAAAATGTAGAGGAGAAGTTCTAGTAATAGGAGTATGTAGTATTTTCTAAGAGCTATTTGTATTGATTGTTTAATGAGAGGTCTACTCAGCTCTATTAGCTTTTGTTGGCTTTGCCTATTTTTAATACATTAGGTTGGCGTAAGGGTTTTGTTATGGTATTAATGCATGTTTGGTTGGAAAATAAATAAATTTGAAGTGATATATTTTAGATTTTATTTTCATGTTTGGTTTCAAAAAATTCAGAGAAAAAAGGACAAAGATGATAGATAGGAAGCTAGCCTGGAATGAGACTATGAGGCTTCATATTTAGTTGATGATTTATATGACTATTTATTTTTTCTCTTTTTCTTTAAATTAATATCTATTATATACAATGTGGATTGGATACAGACTAATTTAACTTAATTTCATTTAATTATAATAGTTGCAATAAGAGTCATAAGTGACACTTTGTAAATAATATCGTTGACTAAGTAGGGTGAAGTGTCAAAAAAAAAGTAGGGTGAGGTGACAAAATTAAATGGTAGAAGGGGTAGAACAAAGTTGTTTGTAAAAAATAGAGTGAAGTACAATTCAAAGATCGAATAGATAGATGAAGTAATTCAGAAAAACTTTAAAAAATATAATAATATAAAAAAAAATAATAAAAAAAAAGGATCGAAGAGTTATTATATCTAAGCATTGTTCAATTATTTAATTGCAGGATTGCCTCTCCTCTCCTCTCGTCTTCTCTCCTCCTCTCTTCTAGGATTTCTCCAAAATTTTGGCCGTTAGATCGAAAATAGTCTAATTTTTTCGAAAATTTGACTATTTTCGACCCTTTTTTCCTTAATTTTATTTAATTTTACATTTTAGGTTTCAATAAATCTACACAAGTAGTGTAGATATTTGTCCGTCTTCCTATGGTGGAGTGTCTCCTATAGTGGAGTAGTTAGTTTTTGTTAGTTTAGTTGTTTATTTACGTTTAAGGTTTGTTTGTGTGTTAGGGTTCATAGAAAGGGTAACCATCTTTGGCCCTATTGTCAATTCTTTGGTAAAGATTTGTTCGGAATCGCAACGGTTTTCAAATTCGTTCAGGCGAATCAGATGAGAATCATCCTTACGGATACAACAAATCGTTAGACTGTCTCTAGCTCCGAAAAGTTGTATATTCCAGCGATGTGTGCGAGAGATGTACCACACTGCAAGATTTTTTCAATGATCGTAGCTTTGATAAAGGAAACCCTAATTTGATTCAATTTTATGTATTTGTTAATTTAGATTTCATTTGTAGATGTCGGATGACTTTTTATTAATGAATTAATTTGCTTCAAAAAAAAAAAAAAAAAAACCTAAGCATTGTACTCTTCGCTTGAAATAAGAAGTTTTGGCCCTTTTAAAGTCTAATATTCGATCTATTCTTTATTTTTCTGATTTGATTATTTGGTTTGTCTATACTTTGACAATAAATATACATTAATGTAGAAGAAAAAACATTATTATGTGTGATATTGTTAGTTTGTCTCAACGTTTATAACTTTCACATATACAATGTTCATACTTTGGACTCATGAGATTTGATCTTATTAGATTTTAACAAGAATAAGTAATTTAATTAATATATAAAGTGAAGAAGGATTTTGAGATACAAATTTCAATTTCCCAAATTACCTGTTTTCAACTTTTTTTTTTCTTGAAAACAACAAAAATTTAGGTTTTCATCAACATTTTTATTTTTTCAAATGCTATATGTAGTCTTTTTTTTTTGCTAATGTTATATGTAGCTCTTAGAGCAATAAATAAGCATTCAATATATTTCTTTATTCGGTATGAGTATTAATTTAAGAATGTATGACAAAATCATGCATACATTAGTGTAATTAATTCAATATATAGGATTTTTTGTGAAAAATTACCTATTAAAGCCTAGAATTTGCGAAAAACTACCTAATAAAAAAAATGTTGTAATTAATTACCTATTAAAATACAATATGTTATAATTGACTACCTCTCGCTGGATTTTCAGCTATGACTACTTCACCGGCGTTGACTTGGTCACGTGACCATCACGTGACTCTTTTCGTCCCTTTTTTCCCCCAAAATTTCCCGCCTAATCCCCAAAATCCCTAATTGAGTCCTTTAAACCCCAAAAACCCCTAATTTTAGTTCGAAAATCCACTCTTTTGAGGCAAATTCTCCTTTTGTAGGCTGCGATTGAGGTAAGTTTTCTTTAATTTAGTTTTCTGTAATAGATTTCGATTAAAACCCTTTAACAATTGTTGATTTTGTTCCCAAAAAATCCGATACCTATCTTCTTTCTTTGCTCCGATTTTTTGGACCATTGTTGGGTGGCAATAATGATTTTGTGGCTATTGGAGTGGTCGGTGTTGAGAGTTGTGGTGCCGGTGGTGAGCAGTGGCGTTTGGTGGGGATAAGTGTGCTGCGTTGGAGGTGCGATTATTGCGGGCTGGCGGATGAATAGGAGTTGTGACTGTGATGCGAGCTAGCAGGAGTTGATTTCTGGTAGTGAGTGTTGGCTGCAGTTGCTGTTGTTGTCGTGTTATGGGCGAGAGAAGAAAGGTGGTTGGGGCTGTGGTTAGTGTTGTGGGTGTTGCTTGGAGTATATGGTGGAGCAGGGGTGTGAATTCGAATTGGTTGATTGGTAGTGGTGGTTGGTTGTTGTGGTGAGGAAATTTGGGGGAAAAAAAAAAAAGGAGGAAAAGAGTCTGCTAGTATCACGTGGTGGTCACGTGACCAAGTCAATGCCGGAAAAAAATTGTCAAAGTTGAGAATCCGGTGGGAGGTAGTTAATTACAACATTTTGTATTTTATTAGGTAGTTATTTACAACATTTTTTTATTAGGTAGTTTCTCGCAAATTCTGGATCATAATAGGTAGTATTATATATATATATATATATATATATATATATATATATATATATATATATATATATATATATGAACCCCATTTTTTTTTTTATCTAATTCAAAGTAAAGAGGGGTTTTGGGTGATAAAGTCCACTTTTCCAAATTACCCCTTCTCTTAAAAAAAATTTAAATAAATAAATAAATAAATAAATAAATAATAATAATAATAATAATAATAATAATACGAAGAGTAGAAAGAGGAACCAAAACTTAAAAGATTCTAAAGTCAACGTACAATCGTTTTGTACGAAAGAACATAAACCTACTATCCTAATTTTTGTTTTACAAAAAAAAAACACCTAAAATCTAATCCTAATAATTAATCAAAAATACTCCAGGACTTCATAAACCTTTTTTGTTTTTTGTATAATTTTTTTTACTAATATTTATTTAACGCTTGTAAAATTTGAACCCATTATTATTAGAATAAAGAGGAGAATAAAGCCTAAAAGCTAAGGTTTCTTATATTTCACATACACATTAGGAGTGTTCCTTAACTTGTACTCCTTTTTTTTTTCTTTTTTTTTTTTTTTTTTTTAAGTGTCTCATGCTCATAGTGACAAGACACATATGGGGATGCAAAACTTTGAACAATAATATCTTTAATTATCATTAACTATAAATTATAACAATTAAATTTTAATAATCTACTCATTGAGACTATTCTAAAAAGTACCTATATTTTTTTCTTATGTATGATTCATAAACAATGGTCAAAATAGGTCTAATGATGAATAGTATCAAATTCTCCAATGAGGCACTAAAATTAAAAAAGAAAAAAGAAAAAAAAAAACTGAGGGTGATAGTATTTTTTATTTTTTTTATATTTTTTTTTGACGAAAGAGGGTGATAGTATTATTTAAAACTTTATAGATTTCAAATTTTCAATATAAACGGAATCTAATACTTTATTACAAATATAACTGATTCGCATTTCATACTTGGTATTATTTGAAGTTTTACACTATTGGATCATTCATCCTCTATAATCAATTCATATATATCTTGTAATACATATATTATCTCCGGATCGTATTATATGCAACTTTAGGGTATTAATTGAGAGATATAAAAAATTCAAAAGTTACATATAATACGATCCGGAGGTAGTATATGAGAGCTTATTAGATTTATCTCGATACATATATACATAACCAAAATAAATAGGTAGTACTCCCGTTCTCATGCCAATTCGACAACTAAGCTAAGGATAGTTATTACTCCCTGGCCGCTAACCAGTTTCTTCTTCAGTCTTCATCAGCAACAACTTCAGCAGCAGCAACTACAACAATGATCCGTAACTCTTTCCACAAAATTAGCTATTATTTAACTTCTCTTGAATCTATTTATATTGTTCTTTATGGTAAGCTTTTTTTTTTTTTTTTTTCTTTCAATTTTTTTTTTACTCATTCTAATTATTACTCATACTAGTAAAGTGTAGTGCTTAGATGATAAATGCATGCACATGAACACTTACATGCATGCCTTCACAGGGGGACCTTCTACGGGTCTGTTCACATTTACTGAATTGAGCTGAATTGAATTGAACTGAACTGATTAGAGCTGAACTGAACTGAACTGATTGGAACTGAATTGAACTGAACTAAACTGAACTGAAATGAGCTGAAATGAATATTTTATGAGAGAAGGAATTTAAGAGTTGAACTGAACTTAACTAAATTGAACTGATTGGAGTTGAACTGAATTGATTGGAGTTGAACTGAATTGAATGGAGCTGAATTGAATTGAACTGAAATTAAGGTCAAGTGAACAGGCCCTACCGGGGCCATTTGTGGTTTGGCCCCTGGTAGATTAATTAGTTTATGACTTTAAGGAACTAATTTTATTATTAAAATATTAGGACATGATGATTAGTTTTAAGTAAAAGATAAAAGAGACTCAAATCCCAACCCCTCTAAATTTTTTTGGCTAAGATCCACCAATGCATGCCTCGTCCCTTTCTCTAGCTAACATAGGGCCAGTTCAATTCATCTTAATTTCAGTTCAGTTCAATTCAGGTCAGCTCCAATCACTTCAGTTCATTTCAGCTCCAATAAGTTAGTTCACTTCAATTCAGCTCCTAATTTCCTTCTCTCATAAGTATTCATTTTAGCTCTATTCAGTTCAGTTCAGCTCCAATTAGTTCAGTTCAGTTCTGTAAATATGAACAGACCCATAGTTATACAATGATCGATCGGTGTGACATTTATAAAATATTTCATAAAAATCTTAACTTCTACATGTATGTTCATAGCATTTCCTACATACTAGTACAACAAGGCATCGTCATATTGTGTGTTCGTGTGGTCAAGTCGAGTTTAATTTAACTGCTTGGAGTTATGCCTTGGTAATTTAAATGGGATCAGTTTTTTATCGTTCTAAAATAATTAGTACTTTCTTATATGTTTATTATTAGAAATATTTATACAACCTCCATTTCATATTATGTGTAACATTTACTAAAGCGGCTGCTAAATATTATGTGCAACAAATGTTTTCTTTCTTTTTAAAGTTGTCAATTCTTTATATCCCTATGTTCATCACAATCATCTTTCTCTTTATCTTTCTCTCTCTACTCAACATTCACAAACAAATTTTATTTGCTTAGAAAACTGTATAAACTCATTTGTTGCACATACCCCAAATTTTGCTTAGAAATCTGTATAAACTCATTTGTTGCACATACCCCAAATTTTGTTTAGAAATCTGTATAAACTCATTTGTTGCACATACCATACTCAAGGCTGTTATTCCAATGTTTCTTTTAAGTTAATTAATATTCTTAAAGCGAAATTTTCAAATTAGTTGCATCCCTTTTCGTTTTA